TATTCTTAGGAGATTCTTGATTTATGATTGGAACAACATTCGCTGAGATTTGAATGCATTCAGATCGATTCAACTCAGAAATCAAGGATCAACATCATAATTTGAGATCAAAACACCAGAAAACATGATGATGTGTTTCGAGGTAAGCACAAGAGAGAATGGCAAACACAACAACTGTTTTGAATCATGTGCGATTAAAATGTTCCGAAAATTTCAGTCCCCTTAATCAATCAAATCAGATGTTTGCTTGAAGGGTGACGAAAATACGTTGATTTCATCTATGAATGGTTAGATACAGAGTAGAATAATAGAGATGATTGGAGTTGATGATTGGCCATTGATAACGTGATCATTCGAAATGTTCATTTCGATCGATGGATTTCGAGTCGTGGAAAATTCTTTAGAGGAAAAAAATTAGCTGATAAAAAGACGAATTAACGTGATATTTAAAAGGAAACGTGTTTATTTCATGGTTTACACACCTCGTTCTGAGGCNGACAGCTGTTACTGCATACGATTCAAATTGATCACCAAAGTGCGCATTGTTCATTCGGAATGAAGCTAAATTATCTCCCTCTTGCAGCAAACCGTCGAATGCATTTTATTGCCATCATCCATCTTCTTAGATTTCTTTCAGCAAAAGGGAAAAGCAAGAAAAACTAAACGGAGATGGACTCATCGGAAAAATTCACTTGGTTTTTGGTATCAACTATTCTGCGTTCTCCCTCTCCCCTTCCCAACCACACATATCTGGAGAAAATCCTTGCTATGCCATTGGTAGATGTTTTAATCGTACAGCAGATCTTTTGCATCATGTGTGCTTGAACAACGGAAAACTCGCTAGCTCGTAATTGTCACGTTACCATTCTGAACAGCACTACATTTCGAGTCGCTCTTACTGAATTTTTCGTCCATGCGAAATCACATTTGTAATGTATTCGTAATGTAACGAAACGAAATTGTGTGTAATGAATCCCAATCATAATACTGAATCGTGATGATATTACTTTGTTGAGTGTTCTTTTAATCATTCGTCAGTTCACCTATCAAAATTATATGATTGCAGAAGTGTGCACGTTCACTTCAGTATCGTTGTAATTGTTCATTTGCAGAGAGAAGGAATTGCTTGTCTTATCAGTTACAGCTTACAAATAACAGATTTGTTGCATCGGAGCAACTATCGAACTGACTGTGAACAAAGAGCATTACTTCAAAAAACCGAAGGAATTTATTCACTAAATGAATAATCAATAAAAAAANAAAAAAAATATTATGGATTCATTAAATCGAGGTTAGCCCAAAATGATTATTGATTGAGGCAGCTGTTTACAGAGGTTAACAATGATTGTCGATCAGAGATCAAAGTGAGGCAATTCGCTTCTCCTGCGCCTCCATCTCCGCACGAATCTCCTTTGGAAGATCGGGTCCAATCTGAAAAACAAAATTTCTTAGTCAAACGGTCTCGCTCTTTGAACTCAACTCATCGTTTGATAAGTTCATCATAGATGTGCGTTGTTTTAATCAATAGAAACGACACATTGCACTTGTCAAAATATACGGCATTATGACACTCTGCTCTTTGGAAACAAATGATTGATGCATACAAAGGATCCGACCGAGAATTGGGCATAATCATAAGTGGTACCTGTTCTTCAATGAAATGTCGCACTTCCTTCGCATCATCGACCCAATAATCTTTCGGTACACTCATCAGTTCATCCAATTTCACTCCTTTAAGACCGCTCAAGTTAATGGAACCTTCAGTTGGTACCACACCAATAGCGGTGTTTTTCCCGGTACCCTGGACACCATCGAGTCTCTTGATAACCCAATCCAACACACGAATATTGTCACCGAATCCGGGCCAGAGGAATTTACCATCTGCGCTCTTGCGGAACCAGTTAACGTGGAATATTTTTGGCACCTATGAAATGAAATTTTCACAGAAATCATCAAACGGCTTGATCCATTGTTGACTTGCTTCAATGAAATTGTATAATCGCACATTTATCAAATTAGATCAGTCAAGTAACTGAAATTTGAAGAATGCATATTCGTTAAAACTGTTTAAATCAGCTCGCTAACAGATGATATGCGGCCAGGAAGACATATGGTCGCCACACCAAAGACAGCACCAATAAATGCACTAAAACGAATTATAACATCGCAAAAACAAAATGCGAATGGAAACCTTATGTGGTGGTTTATCCAAACTGATCCAGTGCTGGAGATATTTACCGAAGTTATAGCCCATGAACGGTCGCATTGCCATCGGATCATGCATAACACTTTTACCTTTGAACTCCGCTGCCGCAGTTGTCTCAGACTTGAGGCATGCTCCAACGAACACTCCGTGAAGCCACGAGAACGTTTCGTAGACGAGTGGTACACCTTCTGGCCTGAAAATGGTNACTCCGTGAAGCCACGAGAACGTTTCGTAGACGAGTGGTACACCTTCTGGCCTGAAAATGGTGGGTGCTTGTTGTTGACAGCATTCCACATGAACGACATATTACTTTTCGTTTCATTTTGGTTTGAATTGATCCTTTTTGAGGATTTCATGAAATCTCAGTGCTGATTCCAATATAATTTGCTGCACGAATTACATCAAGCATTTACTGTTCTGTACAGTGCCATACAAGCAAAATTGATTGCTGTCTTATTGCAAATATTGATTTGGTTTGCCATTCTGTTGTTTCGTGCTTAAAGCTGTTTTTTTTTGTTGAACGAACCAAATGTTTCTTGGTGTACAATGTTCATTTTTTATCTTAGCATTGTCGCACTTGATTAATTCGTCTGAACTTCGGAGAACCGTAAAAAAGGCACCAATCGACAGAATCACAAACATAGAGCACAATATCAAACCTTCGTCCACCAAAGATGAATGCCTCAATGGGCACTCCATCAGGTGACTCCCATGCTGGATGGATGATTGGGCATTGACCGGCTGGAGCGGCAAATCGTGAATTTGGATGTGCTGCTGGTCCATTTGGATCACCAATGTGCCATTTCTNAAAACATTCAGCTGGATGTGCTTGTAAGAATATTCTCGGTTCATTCGAGTATATCGATGAATGTCTGTGTTTGTATGTGTGAACGTACCTTGATTTCGTCCTCGAGTCCCTCCCAATAGTATTCACCGTGCTCAGTTTCGGCGACATTCGTGAATATTGAATTCTTTTGGAACGTCATCATCGCCATTGGATTCGTCTTCATCGACGTTCCGGGTGCAACACCAAAGAAGCCACATTCCGGATTAATACCGTGCAATTTTCCGTCGGGAGCAAATCGCATCCACGCTATGTCATCACCTCAAAAAATGTTTATAGAATTTGCCTGTTTACAGAAGCGAAAAACGCATTTGCTCATTTTGTCGAGCACATTAATTCAAGTGCAATCTGACAATGAGAAGTACGCTCGAGTAAATTACTGAGCGGGTTAACTGATAATCAGTTTGCTTGATATCGCCAATAATTTGCAATGGCTGGTGTTATTTGATGTGACTTTGCTGAAGAACGCACTTCAATCTCATATGTTAAGCGAACATTATTGTGAATGAACGTCTTATTAACGCACCTGATCGTCTGTTCAGCTTCAGATCACTCACAAATCTGAGCATTCAGTCTGATTCTTTATTGCTATACACAAAGAACTGTTTCCTATCGTTTTTTACACAAACATTTTCAGTCTTGACAATAAGTAAGGGAACAGAAAAAAAGAGAGCAAAAGAGTAATCGGTTGAGTTTCATTGCAGTTGTGCTGTTGTTCATAATGAAATGCTTTGTTCTGCAGTTATTTCTGAATAATTTTGAAGAGTTCTGATGAATTTGACGGAAGCAATGTTATCAGTAAAAACATCTTATTTGGTTATAGCCAATTCGACACGTCCAATGGTAAATGCAGAAATATTCAGATACTCACCAACACATCTCACTTTCCAACCAGGTAGAGTTGGTTCAAGCATTGCCAAATTCGTTTTACCGCATGCCGACGGGAATGCGGCAGCGATGAAGTGTTCACGACCATTCGGTGGAGTGACACCTTTAAATTTCACCAGTCGAATCATTTCATTCCATCTGACGATGAGTACATGCTAGCTGTTAAGCTATCACGTACGCATAACAGTGAATTGCTACATCAACCTAAATCGTCAAATGTGCAAGCAACAAACTGAACAGCTCCACTGACCCATAATGAGCATATGCTCGGCCAACCAGCC